CTTGATGAGTCTAAAACTCATGTATTTCACGAGACGTTATGTCTTACATATTCATTGTTTAAATTGTCATGTATCATGGATCAGGAGTTAAAGACTACAAAGATAAAGATTTAGTGGATGAGTTTTGGAGAATTAGATTTTGTAATGACCATTCTCTTAATTATGGTTGTGATGTTATTTTGTAACATTCAAGAACTTGTAAATTCTGATAATATTTTCAGGTTTTTGTTAAACCATATTTTGATGCATAACTCTATGTCATGAATTTTATAACAACCCATAGTACATGAATGTTCCATAAAGAATGGGGAGTTATATAACTTGTTTTTGTCCACTTTTAGGTAATAAACTTTCAACAATGGTCTCATTTTAGTCCTTTTAACCGATTAAATCCCTTAACCGACATTTTTTTAATGATTTGTACGAAAACTTAATTCAAGTTTTTGAACCTCATACTTCTTAAAGGTGAAGACAACATACCGAATTTGATTTCCCTCCAAGATCGATTAAATATGTTCTTATAAGGGACTAAAATGTCAAGTCATATTTATAAAACGCATCTCATCTTAATTTTTAAAAAAGTTTTAATCCAAGTCATAAAAATTCTCATGTAAGCATGTTAAGGGCTACAATCGGTTAAATGAGATATAATAAGATGATTTTGAAAATGCATTATCTAAACGGGGACAAAAATAAGTTGGGTGACTAAAAGTGGACAAATGGAATAGTTAGTTGGTCATTTATAACATTAATTTTCCTAGAGTTTAACTAGTATCACCTATGATATTATGTCAAATGGACTAAAAGACTGTTTGTGAAAATTTCATTACTTAAAAATGGACAAAAATAAATTCAATGACTAAAAGTGGATAAATAAAATAGTTAGTAGGCCACTTTCATTATTTCCTCCATAAGAAATAGATATGTGATTATATTTTAAATAGAATTTTATTTATATCCTTCTAAACTTTCATAATTATGTATATATCTTTGTAAAACTTCAAATTACATGTATATCCTTATAAAAACTATAAGGTCCTATATATACCAAAATACTTAATTTAATAATAATTAATCTATTTAAAAATTAAAAAACACTATTTTCAAATTGATTTTTTATTATTTAAAAAACTAATTAACTTGTAACATTGCAATATTACCTTTCTTCCAAAAATCCCAAACATATAGATAGAAATTTGGATATATAGCCAATCGATAAAAAAAGTTTGGGTCAATATCTCCTTCATGAACCCGTCCAATAATATTGACCGGTTGAATAAAGTTTTGGTCCCAAATTCAAAATCTTTGTTTTGAACGGTAGTAGAATTAAAAACAAACTAGCAAGAAGCTAGACCAAAATACAAAAAGTTCAAGCCATTTTGGGATAAATAAACCAACAATCCCAAGAAAAATTAGTTTTCCTACATCTATTAGAAATCCAGAAATAGGAAAAATAACATATATTATCAAAAATCTCATCTTTTCTAGGCTTGACCGCTCCAAATAGGAGTTTATTTCGAAAACTCCATAAAACCCAAAACGTGGTAGCTATAACTGCTTTAAATCTCGTCTTGTTTTTTCTTGTCAAAAGATAAAGAATCAGCCCAATTGAGAATGAAAGAAACCGAAAAATCACATGGAAAAATCACATTCCACCATAGAGCAATCTTTCTCCAAATCGGCATTAGAAGACAACAAGAAGCAAATAAAGTGCTCAGTGGATTCACCAACTTGAGAACAGATAGGACACAACAAAGAATGAAGATCCATTCCTTTATCTCTAAGGTTTAACCGGGTAGGGATTCTGTCCCTCTCAATTCTCCAAATAAGAATATTAACCTTTATGGGGATAAGATTATTCCATCTAGTGACGATATTAGAACCGGTCAACAAGAAGGAATCAATAAGTTTTCTAGAAGAAGAAACCGAGAAAACTCCATTCACATCTAGATCCCACACAATACGATCAGGGGCCTCCGAAAACACATAATTTTGCAACATAGAACATAACTCAATCCATTGAGTATTAGGGACTCCCGGTCTAGGCAATCTACCAAACGCATCCAATAACTTATCCGAGGAATTTCGATCAGCAATCAACGCTCCTGGAGAAGGATCAAGCACGAAAATTCTGGGAAATTGATCCTTAAGAGACCCCGTTCCAATCCAAGTATCAAGCCAAAATCAAGTTTTTAACCTGTTACCCACCTGGTTACGACAATAACCTTCTAAATTAAGACCTTTTTCTTTCAAACGGGAAAAACATCTAGCCATGTTCAGCCAAGGACTCAAACCACCGGCAAGAAAATAGCCTCCAGAACCTCCTGTGACCGAACCATGAAGAATATTCACCACCCTTTCCCACAACGAGTTTGGGTATTGTAAATATCTCCACCTCCAGCGAAAAAGTAAAGCCCGATTAAAAGCAATCAAACTATTAATTCCAAGACCACCTGAATCCTTAGAATTAAGAACATGATTCCAAGCTACCCAATGTATTTTTCTTTCACCAATATTTGAACCCCAAAAGAATCTAGCACAAAGTGCTTCAAGAAGTTTAATAACTGTATCTGGGACCTTGAATATAGATATAAGGTAAATAACAATACTACCCATAACACCTTTAATCAAAGTCAGACAACCACCAATAGAAAGAAGCTTAGCCTTCCAAGTAGAAAGTTTGTTGACAAATCTGTCAATCAAAGGTTTCCAAGAAGCAACTCTATTCATGTTATCACCCACAGTACCCCCAAGATACAAAAAAGGAAGTCGGATAGCACTACAACCCAACATATCAGCAATGCCTCGAACATGCTTAAAATCCACTCCAACCCCGATTAACTTACTTTTAGATAAGTTCATTTTCAAGCCGGAAGCCATGTGAAAAACTTTAAGCATATGTAAAAAATTTCTAGCGTTTTCAACCTCCCAATCACATAAAATAATTGCATCATCAGCATATAAGAGATGTGAAATTTCTAAGCCAAAATTTCCAATAAGAACACCTTTAAACACCCGGGATCTGCTAGCTTCTAACAAACCAATATGAAAACCTTCCATAGCCAAAACAAATAAGAAATGAGATAAAGGATCTCCTTGACGAAGACCTTTTGAACCTCAAATTCATCTGTGGGAGCCCCATTAACAATAACTGAAGCTCTAGAAGTGGTCAAAGTTGCTCTATTCCAATTGCACCAAACATCACTAAACCCCATCATAGCATTACTTGGAAAAGAAAATCCCAGGAGAGAGAGTCATATGCTTTTTCAAAATCCACCTTAAACACCATAAGCTTCTTTTTACACCCCTTAAAATGAGCAATGATCTCACTCAGCATCAGAGGGCCATCAAGAATCTGTCGGCCCTTAATAAAAGTTGATTGCTCCGAACCAACAACTGAATCAATAACCAAAGCCAGACGATTCGCTAACAATTTACCAATGATTTTATATTGACAACCTATAAGACTTATAGGTCTAAAATCAGTAATAAACTTAAGATCATTAACTTTTGGGATTAAAGTAATAAAAGAAGAATTGCAGCCTTTAGGAATCCACCTATTTTTCTAGAAAGCACCACACATCATCTTTAATAATATCCCAATATTTTTTTAAAAACTCGAAAGTGAATCCGTCGGGACCGGGCGCCTTATCACTCCCATAATTCCAAACAACTCTCTTAATTTCCTCAGCAGAGAAAGGCGAGTCAAGAAAATCAATCTGATCCAATGACAACTTCAAAAAACTATCAGAAATAATGGAAGCACGAACACCAGGAATAGTAGAAAATCTAGATTTAAAATGAGTAAAAAACTCATTTTTAACCACAATAGGATCCGAAACCCAAAATCCATCTTTCATAATTCCTTTTATGGCATTCTGTCTTCTCCTACGATTCACCGATGCATGAAAACATTTAGAATTTTCATCCCCCTCTACCCCCCACTTGATTTTAGCTTTTTGAGCTAACTCAAGATTATTCACATGTTCAAGGTCCCTAATTTGTTTTAATAAGGCGATGCGATTTTTCAAATCCTCCTATGAAGTCGTGCCCTCATCAATTTGTTTTTGAATATTATCAATCTCCAAACTCAATTGTTTCTTACTAGCATCATTTGACTGTCTCCGGATTGAATTCCATTGTTTTAAGTTATTTTTAAGAAATTGAAGTTTCTTCTTAAAAATAACCATTTCATTAGTCTGACCCACCACTGGAATATCCCAAGAATCTTTAACAACCTTGTCAATACCATCAATCTCCAACCACGAATGAAAAAAACGAAAGGGAGAAGGACCATAATCCACAAATTGATCAAAAAGAATAATAGGATTATGATCAGGTAAACCCTTCTCAAGAACCAAAGCCGAAGTAGAGGGAAACTCATCAAAAAAAACTTTCAGAAACAAGAAAGCGATCCAGTTTGCTCATTTTAGTTCCCCACCTATTAGAGCAAGTGAAAGACGGACCACCAAGCACCACATCAATCAAAGCAGTATCAAAAATAAACTGATTAAACTCCCTAGCCTCAGAGGCATTAAACACCGTACCAAACCTTTATGTCTCATCACGGACCGCATTAAAATCACCCATTAAAATTATCACAGCATTAGATTTTAAAATCAATTGTAATAATGAATACCACACCAATTTCTTCTTATCCACAGCCTGGGGAAAATAAACAACAACGATCATGATCTTAATGCATTTCGGACTCCAAATCCCCTCAACAAACACGTAATTCTCATGGACTAGAGACTTATGTTTGATGAAAACACCCGAATCCCAAACAAGAAGTATACCACCTGAAGCACCTCTAGCATTCAAAACAACATAATCAAAATGGTTATTTCCCCACACCGAACGAACCAAATGAAGATCCACAGACGAAGATTTTGTCTCTTGAATGGCCACAAAATTAACACGATATTTATTTCCCAGTTTTCGTATCCAAGAAATTTTATCCACATTACCTACACCTTGCATATTAACATAAATACAATTCATTTAAAAACTTGATTAACACATGACCTATTAATTACCTCCTCTTTATCTTGCACACAATCTTGCATAGAATAACCCATAGCATGACCCATTTGAATAAGAACATCAAGACCCTCCACAACCAAAGGCTGCTTACTACCCTGATGAACACTATTTGATCGGAGAGAACAACAAGAACCGCCACCACCTCGAGAATGCTGGACATAACGCTCATCAAAAGCACCTGGTTCAGACCATCCAGACGGATGAGTTGGAGAAGATTCATACTTAATTGAAGGAATTCTAGCAGATAAATGTTCACTTTCCTCAGTTTGAAAATTCATAACCTTACTGACATCACCCCTTTTATGATTAGAAACCGGATCATATTTATCTTGCTTTGACAACACCTTATGATGTTGAGGCAGATCCAAAACCGAATTACCACCATTTTTAACTAATTTCTTTTTAATCATTTTGTTCCTACGTGAATCCTCCATTATCAGATCACGCAACTGAAAGGGATCAGAGTCTTGTTCCTTAAGACCATCATTGCCTATATCTTTAGATGAGGTAATACTAATATAATCATCCTCTTCAAAATTCAAATTTGGGCCTTCAAAACGATTGTCATCCTCCTCATTAACAGAAACAGACTCGTTAAAAGATGGAGACCATCCTATGACTTCTTTGACTCACACAGTAAAAATAGAATCATCCACCATAATTGGAATCTCTTCTGAAATAATTCCCATATTCTGAGTCTCCACACAAATCCTCATACTAGACAAATTAAGTCCCAACGTTTCATCCATATGACGAATGATACCCCACTTTGATGCTACTTTTGAAAATTTCGACTTAGACCATGCACGAAGAGGCATGCCTTCAATGTCAAGCCAAACTAATCGTTCCTTAGGAACAAAATTACGAGACCAATCAAGAAGCTGATGAAACCAACCACAGACCACTTCATTGCTGCGAAAATTATAACAGGTTTGTTGTGAAGGAAATTCCAGCATTAACCACATACCTCCCACAAATTTACAGTCAACACCAGGGAAACCTTGAGCTTTACACATATTCTTCAAGACAAGCAACATGGAAAATTCTTTAAGTTTTCCTAGAACCACCTTATTCGAAAATTTATGATCAAGAATAAAATCACCAAATTTTAATTGCATGACCTCATCAGAAACTTTGGTGACCTCATCAGAAACTTTGGTAACCACAGACTTAACCTTGGGCACGACAACACTAGCATAAGTTGTATGATTATTTCCTTTATTTGCTTGTTGATTAAACTAAGAGCAAGAAGAATCCTTAAAAGATGGCCGAGAATAATAAGATCGTGGGTGAATTACTGAAGAAGCAAACAACTTATAAGAGTCCAACCAAATGTCACAGATATTACGGGTGAGAGCATCCACATCTTTAACCCTAATGAACCTGATAAACCAAAACGTTTCCCAAGTTTCGAGAGTTTCTTGGAGATAAAAACATCCACCACTATTCCATATTTTTCACATTTCTTCTTAAGATCCATGCTATCAACATTGGTCGGAAAGTTAGTAACATAAATGGAAGTTGAGATATTACTTACTGATCGCATGTATTCATTGTGCTTATTATTTCTGTCATCGTCCCTAATACGATCAAAAACCGAAGCCTTCTTATTCCTAGACACCTTCTGCCAGTCTGAAATCGCCATGATGAGAAGATCACCGGCGTTTGATCCCGCGGAGACCCAAAATTTGTCGCCGCTTTTCCTATTAACTGCAAAATATAATTATGCTTGCTTTTCCCCAAATTCAAAATCTTACATGGAACTGCTATCAAGTCAAACATATTCATCAACCAGAATCCACTATCGACATTGATAGCTACTTCCAAGATGTTGATCGATAACATAGTTAGGGTCGATTGAACTCACATGTTTGAAGCTGCAAATCCCAATTGCGTAACCATCAGTTATATATTTATTTCATAACAAAATTGTTTAGAGGAGAATAATTACAAGTCTTCCAAATCGATTGTAGGAGATTAACTATATTATTTAGCATTCGATTATAAATATGCACACAACTTTTGCTAATTGATCATGTAAAATATATAATGCAATGAATTATATCGTGAATCATTATAACCTGAATAAAAAGATCGGCTATGGACAAGATTACATTTAAAGATAATTTAATAATCATTCACGATAAATGATACATTTAAAAATAAAGAAGACATTCAAAGATAAAGGAGACGTGTTATCACTATCACTCAGCAAACATATATACAAAAATTTATTTTTATGTAGAAAAAGCAAACATTATGTAATCATCAATTTGTTGGATAATTTATTTTTATGTAGAAAAACAAACATTATGTAATCATCAATTTGCTGGATAATTTATTTTTATGTAGAAAAACAAACATTATGTAATCATCAATTTGTAGGATATTTTATTTTTATGTAGAAAAACAAAGATTATGTAATCATCAATTTGTTGAACAAGTGGATCATACATATTTCATTGCTTTCATTTTTGTAAATCATTTTTGTAGATATGGACAATTGGTTAGGTTTACTACTCGGAGCTAAATGATATATATATATATATCTATATATATATATATCTATATATATATAATAGATTATATATTATATATATATATATATATATATATATATTATATATATTATATAATTATATAGGGTTTCGTTCATGTGAAACGGCTTAATTTTGTGAGACCGTAAAACCATTTTTTTTCTAGTAAAATATTCTAATATTTCAGTGTTTATAAAAATTAAATATGTGTAATATTCTAATATTCTAAAACAATAATTTTAATATATTTTACATTGAAATATTTTCTAAAACATATAATGTTACAATATATTGCATATTCCATTTTTACAAACAATAGAATATTATAATATTTTACTAAAAAAAATTGGTCTCACGGTCTCACAAAATTATATATGTCTCAAATGAACTCTCTCTCTCTCTCTCTTTATATATAATATACTATATATATATATATATATATAGATCCGGTAAGAAATTTTTTTTGGTAGGAAGGTAAGAAGTTTTTTTTCTACTATTTTTTTGATGAACAAAATAAATGAATCACTAGATGATTCATTTGTAAGATGATTCACAAGAAAAAATTCCCAAAAAACATCATTATGATTTATTTTTAAGTAAATTAAGAAAAAATTCACTTTTATGACAATTTTAATGAATAACAACAAAAATCATTGTATAAATGAATCATCAAGATGTTTTTTTAGGAATTTTTCTTGTGAAATCATCTTACAATTGAATCATCTAATGATTCATTTTGTTTTCGCGAAAAAATATGTTAAGAAAAAAAAACTTCTTACCTTCCTACCAAAAATTTCCTTCTTATTTGATCTTGACTATATATATATATATATATAATCTATATATTATATATATATATATATATATATATATATATATATATATATCATTATCTTTTGTCTTGTTATAGCATCTTAATTTTAATTATTCTTATCGTGGTATGCTATTTATTATAATTTTTCTTATTTAGGCATTGCATTCTAAACAATTTATTTGCATTGTGAACAATCTATTAAACCAATTGATAACCAAATAATTCAAAATCGTGTAATATACATGTTCATGAAATATCTTGTTGACTTGATATAAAATCTAAAAATATCATTTTGTAAGAGTGAACGGAATATGTGAAAGTTAGAGCGAGGAAGGGTCATGCAGTGGCGGATTAAAGAATTTTCTTTATTGTGGGCATTTGATCGGTCAAATGGTAAAAAATAATCAGATCGGGTTAAACCCCTTTGATCACACCCAATTGTTTATATTTTATTTCCATTGATATGTTTGATCACATAGCAAATTGATATGAACATCTATTCTAATTGATATAACATTTAAAAACTATTTTTCACAGCTTTTAAATTAACATGTTCAAGACTAAACTATTTTTAGAATGATTGAATCACTCAAGTAAAATAATTTATTAATATTAATGCTAATATTGATAAACTCGTTTCGGTTTATGTAAAAAAGGCAACAAGAATCAAAATCAATTTCTTTTCATAGTGGGTTTGAGAAGTATGACCAATTCACCACATGGACTTTGGCCCAGTTATAACACATTCAACCGGAACAACCCTACTACTACTCCATCGTCTATTTTGGCTTTCCGTAGATGGTGATATTTGCCACTAAAGTTGGCTGAAGCTTCGATTCAACTTAAAATAATGCATTATCAAGTAAAAGTTATCCAAAACATTGAGGGCCTTTTGTGTATGTTTTATATTACAGTCTAGTTTTATTATAAGAAAACATTGGTTTGGAAAAATCAATTAGGGTCATGTGCCCCCACACCTAACACGTTGGATCCGTCCCTGGGCTCAGGGATGGAGCGACACTAGGGATGGAGTGACACTGAGTGGAACACCACCATGATGCTTCGCAGCTTCAATACCGAAAAAAAACACCCCGCTACAGGGTGGCTATCCTAAATTGAGTGACCCGGTCTATTTTATTTCCTCTGAATGTGGTGGAGATGCGAGAACAACGTCTGGTGCTTTGTAACACCTGGTTTTTATAAACAAATATGTAAGAAAAAGCAGGAATTAGTGAAAGAAAGTGATAGTTCACTCTGATACAATTTCATGGATATAAAGATCGTCAAAATCGGAGTTTATATGAGAAAGTTATGGTCATTTTTAAGTTGAGATAAAAGTACGTTGTTATTCAGAGAAAATCAAAAAAAGTCAAACAGTCAAATTTTGGGTCAATGCGGTGCGGAGGTGAACGGGGTCACGAGACACGTGTCAGTCTCTGAAGGACACGTGGCAACGGGATAGAATACGTGGCACACTCTCAGACAAGATGCATCATTGCGGTGCGGTTTGAGCTTGACCACGGCGCGCTTTCGCGCAGACTATATATATATATATAGATATATATATATATATAATATATATTATATATATATATATATATATATATATATATATATATATATATATTTAGGGGTGAGATCGGTTGAGAACTCATAATTTCCCGAGAACCCGAGAACTAAAAGTAGAGCGTTGGATCAAAGGTAATTCATTAAGGACATGATCGTCATCTTACCAATCTCATTTAATGTTTAATTTTTTTGTGTTATTTAATATATTAATATAAATGTCTAAAAGTTTACATCATAAATCAAACTTTTCATATTTTTTTAAATATAGTATTTTTTTTTAAGAAAAAATGCAGATTTTTTAAGTTTTTATAGAAAACATGAATTTTTGAAAAAAAAATTGAAAAAAATATTTTTTTTAAAAAACTGCAATTTTTAAAAAAAAAACTGCCTTTTTTTGCAAAAAAATTGCAATTTTTTTAAAGAAAACTGCATTTTTTTCAAAAAAACAACTGCAATTTTTTCAAAAAACTTCAATTTTTTTAAAGAAAGTTACATTTTTTTCAAAAAAAACTGTATTTAAAAAAAAAACTGCATTTTTTTTAAAAGTAATTTTTAGGTGCATATATGCATATTTTTTCAAATGCATATATGTATATTTCTTATACTATAATTTTCGTAAGTAAATCACAACAAATCTCATTTTTATTAATTAATTTATAAACATAATAATACAAGTATTTTATTCGATACAAAATAAAATATTAAAAATAAAAAATGCTACAATTTTCAAAGCGTTTTCATGTCTTCGTGTCAATATTTCCTTATTTTCTTCAATTTATCATTTTTCACTTTTTCAATATTCACCGCAATTTTCTTCCAAATCTACAAGAAAATTAAAAAAAAAATGATTAATGCGAAACACTCACAAAAATACATATGTGATTTTCATGTGATTAACATATGAATCACATTTACATATGACATCATATGTAAATCACATGTGATTCACATATGAATCATATGTGATTTACATGTGAATCACATGTGATTTACATGTGAATCAAATGTGATTTACATGTGAATCACATATAATTCACATGTAAATATATAATCTTTCTCGTACCTTGTAAAGTAAATAAATAAAAGTATGAGGCTAGTGTCATTAAAGAAAATAAAGTTCATTAAAACTCAAATAATTCAACTGGAAGATTAATAAGGAATTATATCAGATTTAACAGAAAAAATCATGTACTGAAACAAGAAATTTAAAAAAGTTTAGTAAGATTGCCTTTTGTAAATATAAAAAAAAAAACATATATAAATTATAAAATATAGCTTATATACAGCTAAAACTTACTCTTTTGGTTCAAATATAAGCTCTTTGAAAACACCATATCCTGTTACAGCAGCTATTCCAAGCCCTACCAAGATAACAACACTATATGAAGCTCCCTCTGTAAATGTCATTGGCTTCTCTGGTATATTGTAAGTGGGAGCATCAAATGGATCTTCAACAGTTGTTACATCTTTCCTGCTCTATAAAGTAAGAGGAAAATTAAAAGGAAAAGTTTAATTCTAAATATTTATAGTTTTCATCAATCATATGTTCAATAAAACAGGCAAATTAAGCGACATGATAAGTTTTAAGATTTAAAACAGTTTCTTCACATAATCTTTTGCAGATTCATTTTGATAAAAAAAAACTATATCCTAATTACTAATGAAGATTTGTGGCAATTTGAGCTATAAATGTCACAGATCAAACAATACTTGCAACCCAATCATTTTTTGTTGCAATTCAAGACATACTAATACTGGAGTTCAAAAGAAATCCTTCTTTTGCTACATACTACACAATGAATAAAAGTTTTCATTGTCATTAGTTAAAGTTGATTTCGAGTACAATTACAGATGATTGGTGATGGTGAATATAGACATACATATAAGAGTCCAAAGCACCAATTTAATAAATATATTTGAGTCAACTTCCTAAAAGAGATTTATGAAATAGCTGGCTTGTTACATTATTGAAAGAGAATGTTAACAGTTTGTGCAATGCCTGCTTCAAAGTCATTAACCAGAACAAGATAAAATAATCACTCAGACTTAACATCTCGTTTACTATATACAGAATCATGTGAAGAAAACTAGAAAGTATCAAACATGATGATAAAACTAATAGCAGCATTTTGCCTTTCAATCACGTCAACTAATACAATAAATTGTTTGATATATTTATCATTCAAATGTAGGTACTACTCAACCAACGATAAACAAAAACTGAATCAGAATCACACAACAACAACGGATTTTACCTCAGTTTTAGAAACGATAGATGTGGTTGTGGTTGTGGACAAAACCTAAAAATCACACAGGTAGGGGGTCATCGCAGCCTCGATCTTAATATGCCGTCAAGAAGAAGGTAAGATTAGGTCGAAAACTACAGAGCCCCTGCCATCATCAAGGTTACGATCTGGACCACTATTCTCTGAAATATGGATCTATGTATACGAGTGAGTTCTTCGGTGGTGCGACGGCCGACGAAAAAAAGGGAGATATCCAACACAGTAGCCTGGAGTAATCTATCGAAGTAGAAGGAGTCCAATGGCAACTAGGTATCATATTAACCAAAACAATCTTTGATTTTTGAAATTGATATCTCCTGTTGACGTTAAAGGCGAAAGCACAAAAGAATAAAGGCTTCGGAGATAGGTGGGAGACATCATCTGAGATCAGGAAGCGTCGATCGCTAAGGAGGCGGAACGAAGGGAGGGAGGAAAGATATATATATATATATATATATATATATATAGATATATATATATATATATATATATATATATATATTATATATATATATTATAGAGAGAGAGAGAGAGAGAGACTTGAACGATGGATTTAATCTAGGGAACTAAGCGGATTTTGTCATCCCAAAAATGTCCCTCAATAAATTTCACTACCATACCCCCGTGCTTTATTTTCTTCAAGTATTTACAAAAATGCCATAAAGCATCTTAACCTTTTATTATTTTGATCTAACGGCTATTGTTTGGTTCTCGGGTTCTCGGGAAACTATATGTAACGCCCGCGTTTCCAGGCTAGGCATTATTGTTGATGTAATAGTCTAGGTTAACCTTTGTAACTCTTTTTGAAGTAATAAAGATGAATTATTTGAGTATTATGTGAATTATGTGAATTATGTGCTTATTTAATTGTTTATAAAGATATAATTAAATTAAGGATAAAATAAGCGTCAAAATTTAAGTGTGAGATAAACCCGATATTTTTACATAAAGTTGTAGTGGTCGAAACGAGGTTTCCGGAGATATAAAGAACGCCGAAATCCGAGTTATAACGAAGAAGTTATGATCTGTCAAAGTTTCGTGACAGAACCGGCACGACGCTGAGTGACGTAAAATATGAATTTATGATAGAGCGATATTTAGCCTTAGCGATCTAAATGAAAGTCGTAGAATTAGTTAAACCGAGAGCGTGCATAAAAAGAACGGCCAAATCTAACTTCGTATGAGGAAGTTATGATTTTCCGAAGTTTCGACTTAGCAGTGTGCAGCCCGAATACTCGATTTGAGATCGAGCGGCTTTTTAGCCGAAACAATCTAAACTATAATTGAAGATCTCGTCAATGGTAGTGCAACGGTAAAAAGACAGACGAAAACGGACGTCGGATGAAGAAGTTATGAATTTATAACGGAGTTTTCCTGTCCCGACCTACTAAAAATAATATAATAAAAATAAAGTCAAAATTAGCCAACGGAGTCTAAACGAGAGTTGTAGAGCATAATCTCACCTATGCGTGGATATAAAGAACGTCGAAAACGGAGCTCGTATGCGAAAGTTATAAATTTCTGAAGTTCGGGGCGTGAACCCCAAGGTTGTGTCAGAGCTCACGAGGTGAACAGATGATGGACGTCTTCCAGGGCAAGTGGCCATGACGAACGCAATGACGTATCGAGCTCACGAGGTGAGCCTAGTTCACGAGGTGAACATATATGGTTCACGAGGTGAACCTAGCATTTTTGTCCTATAAATAGAATTCAAGGGGCAGCCGAGTTTGGTTGCTCATCTCTTACTCTCCCACTCCCGATACTCTCTCTAAGCCCTATTTTAACCCCCCGAAGCCCCGGTTTCATCCCGAGACCCGGAGCATGTCCCAAAGCCCGAAGATCCCGAGAAGAAAAAAGTTTCCGAGCCGAAGCTCTGCCCGCGAGAAGCCCGGTTTTTGTGAAGATCTCCCGGTTTCACCGAAGAATACTACTTCTACAAGCCGTAGTGCTGTCCGATCATCTTCTGATCAAGTGAGTGTGTAGTTACTTTCTTCTAATACATAAATACGAAGTATTTACTATGAAATACGTGTTATGTGTTTATATATTGGTGTTGATTTGAAGGGGGTACATAATCTCTTTCAAATGCATGATTTTATACAAGTATCGATTTAATGTACTAAGTATATGTGTTATGTGAGTGTATCGATGTTATCTTCTAATCTCATAGATATGATTTATTCTCTATGAAATACGTGTTATGTTTATGTGTCTCATCTTTTATCTGGAATGTGTTTTGAATGAACATGCTATACAGGTTTTAAATTATGTATAAAAATGTATATTTTATCTACTAAAATGTTGGGTAGAACATGGGTAGATAGTTGTCTTGTGATAAAAAGATGAGAGGCCTCGATGTTTTTGATTTAGTCATCTAGCGGAGTTTAGATGACGACCACAGACTTTTCTAGACAGTCTTGTGGAACGCTAGCAGGCTCGCCATCTGTAGGTGTTAATGAACTTGGGTGTTCATTCGCTGTACTCCATCCCCCTCATGGTTGCCTTATTTGACATATATTTGTGGGAAACCCCCGAATGCATGTGTTGTCGCCCCGATGAAATATTCTTAGACTAGGTCCCTTATGTTAGTTGTCTTAGGGACGTAAAGTGAGAATAACTGGAATGGGTAATTGGGTTATTGTTGGTTGGTGGAATTAAATATAATTATTTATTGTGGGTTGAAAACCCTATATGCTCACCAGGCTCCCAAGCCTGACCCACTCAGTTTTCTTTGTATTACAGGTAGTGGCGCCAGAGCATAAGTTGGATGACTTGTCAAGTTATTTTTGGATTATAGACCTGCTGTTATATATAACTGTTGTAAGGTCTGTATTGTAATGTTTATGCTTTTGGTCTGTTTATCGGAACATGACATCCCGAGTTTTGTTTTATAATGAAAATACATTTCTTTATGCAATGCTTTGGTAAATCTTATTTTATCATATTTCGTTTTGGGAACAAATTCCGCAACTCTTTTAATCAAATGATTACTCTGAAATTGTTTTAAAAGCATAAATTAAATCGGTCTTTTCTGGCCGTGATTTTGGGGATGTCACAGTTGGTATCAGGGCATTAGTTTAAGCGAACTAGGAAGTTGTAGGATTTCTAGACTTAAACTTAGAATGCTAAGTGAAGATTGTGAGATGTGTGTCTGTTATATTTTAGACACGAGCACTAGCTTATTTTAGGAAAATTGCCTAAAATGCTTTTATGTGCTAAATGTTATATGTTTGCCATATATGATATTATTTGTTCGGATCTATGGTCTGTTGCCGACCGGATCTGGAAACCTTATGTGTTTAGGATTCTAAGCGTTTGACTACGATATTAGAACTAGCATGTAATCGTTTCGGAGTGATATGGAGGATTGTAATATCTATCGTGAATGAAGATCTAAATTTCACCTTATTCGGTGTATAGATCAAGAATGGCAAGAACTAGAAGCGGAGTTGGAAACACAAATGAGAACAGGAATCAACCACCGGTGATTGAGCGAGTACCTGTTGTAGCTGCAGCACCAGAGCCAATGACAATGGCTGGAGTGCAAGTGATGATTCAAACAATGTTGGATCGTCAGATGGAGGAGACCAGGAGGTTGCTTCAGCAGAATCGTGAAGAACCTTCTATGCCTGTTGAACAACCCGAGTTAAATGAAGGGCACTCTGAAGGAGGAAACTTCAGTGGATCAGTGGGTCAAGCCAACCCACCGATAGTTAGGCAAAACAACCAAGATGGAGGGAATGATGGAATGGGATGCAAGTACAAGGACTTTCTGACTTGCAAACCATCGACCTTCACTGGAAAGGAGGATCCGATCGGAGTCATGGATTGGATCTCGGAGATGGAATTGGCCTTTATGACGTGTGGTTGCAGAGGCAAGTTGTAGACTACCTTTGTAGTGCGTCAGTTCCGAGGTGGGGCCGTTCGTTGGTGGAACACTTTGGGGAAGACCCTAAGTCCTAACAAACCACTGCAATTGACTTGGGCAGAATTTTTGGTGCAATTCAAGCGCAAGTTCTGCTCGGCTCAAAATCTGTTGGAGTTGGAAAACAAGTTTCTGACATTGACGAAAGGCAGCATGTCAGTTGATGAATACACTAATAACTTCACAGACAAGATGGAGTTTGCTTTGCGCATCGTCCCAGACGAGCTGACTAAAGTTGACCGGTACGCAAAGGGACTCCCATGGGAGTACGCAGTGCCAGTTCGTCAGGCACCTACTCTAGAGGCAGCTATTTGGGCTGCCAAGTCTGTCGAGGACATGATCAAGGGAAGGACCGCCAGCAAGGTCGAGGTTGGCGAAAAGAGAAAGTTTGAAGTAACTTCAAGTTCCAATAAGAAAAGTAAATTTTCGAAGTCTACTTCGAAGAAGTTTGGAGGAAAAGGAGGCGAAGCGAAATGGTGTGATAAGTGTAAGAAAAAGCACTTTGGGAAATGTAGTGAGGATGTAACTTGCTACAAGTGTGGAAAAACTGGGCATTTTGCCAATGAGTGTCCGTCCAACAAAAGGATGTGTTTTGGTTGTAATGAAGAGGGGCACATTTTGAAAGACTGTCCGAAGAAGAAGGAGGCAGCTAGGCCCAACATTCCACCAAAGCCGAAGGCGAGAGCCTATCAGATGACATTGGAAGCTGCGAAGGATGAAGCTGATGTCGCTTCAGGTACCTTTCTCGTAAACGAATTACCTGCTCAAATTTTGTTTGATTCTGGAGCCAACTACTCCTTTATTTTTCGCATGAGTTTGGTAGAAAACTAGCTTTGCCTGTCG